GAAGGAGGGGGAAAGAGAAGCGGAGTTTGGCGAGGAAGAAGGTGCCGGCAGCCATAGGCGACTTGGAGGTTGACCGGGCTTTGACCGGAGGGTTGACCGGGCGTTGACCAAGGGTTGACCAGGCGTTGACTGGAGGGTTGACCGGAGCGTTGACCGGGTTTTGACCGCATTGACCAAGAGTTGACCAAGGCGTTGACCAAGAGTTGTTGAACACGATTTGGACCAAGCTGGAGTTGGTATAATCTCGCCAAGCCCGTAGCCTATCCCCTCGCCCTATGGATGTGCACTCACCCTATGGTACTTGCTGAGTCCGAGTTTGTCTCTCTTCTTTATGCATTGAGTCTCTTCTGTCCAGGTGATAGGACTCCGTGTATGAAGGATAGGGCCTCGTTGACCAAACCCACACGGACTGAGTAGGGCCAAAGACTGTGTCTGACGACTCGACTGTCCCGGAGGACACGAACCCTCCCAAGAACCGGTACTGACCGGCGGGCTGCTCGGTGTGGCACGGTAGGCCCAAAATCCGAGTTGTGGGCTGCACAACGGGCCGTCTAAGTCTTGAGAGAACCTGCTGACCGCGTCGTCCTGTCTGCGACGTTAAAGAATTCCTGAGGACTTACGGGGGATCTCCTTAAATGCCTCCTGGTCAGCAACATGTTCTGTAGTGATGACTGTAGTGATTAGAGTCTAGGCTAGAGACCATAGTTGACAGGATCCAGTCCGGATTCTGTGGTCCTTAGATTGAGTCAGTAGGTCGTGTCAGTTAGAGGGTAGGTCTAAGTGGTGAGGAGTGGGACAGTCTCTGTCGTGCACCTAACACCATGGACGATTACCCTATGTACGGCTTGCTTGTGGAGTTCTCCCTGTGCGGGACCCTCTGGCGTCTCCTCTTCCCGCTGGGATTCTGGAACACCTTTACGTGCAGAGTAGACACGAGGGGTGGTACGACTACCAAGCCTTACACAGCAGAACAGGAGGTGAAAGCCGCCGCCCTCCTGAAAGAGAGAAAAGAAAAGAAAGAGGCCAAGAAGAAGGCCCTGATGGAGGAACATGCGACAAAATTGAAGAAGATTGAGGAGGAGATGGCCAGAGAGAGAGAGAGAGAGGTTGAAGAGAGAGCAGGAAGAGAAGCTCAAGGCGGTAGAAGAGGAGGAAGAGGTAGAAGAACAGCCACTGGAAAGGCGAAGGACAAGAGAGAGAGGAGAATGCAGTGGAACAAAAGAAGATCTGATGGAGAAGAAAATTACGGAGTGGGTTGCTGGTTTATCCCTGGGGGAAGAAGAGGAGGCACTGATGTATGTGCCCAGGGAAGAACAAGAGGCGGCCATGAGCGAGTGGGATGCAAAAGAAGTCCCACTCAAGCGGCAAGTGATGGAGGATGAGAAGACGATGGAGTGGAAGTTCCGATTAATAAGGGAGAGAAAAAGGAGAACGGAGGCAGCGAGCAAGGCGGCGAAAGAATTGGAAGAGGTGAAGAAGCAAGAGGGCAGATGGCGATGCAGGTGGACCTATTGGGGAAGATGGAGATAATGGCGAGGAACATAGAGCGCCTGGCACAAGTCCAGGAAGAACAATATCTATTTGGTAGAGGTCAGGACATTGCCTTACACTCTATACGGCTGGGGCTCCGAGACTTCGCTAGGGAATTGGCAACGCAGGTGGGCTCAGAGGTGAGGGCCCGCCTAGAGGGCACGGAACGTTATTGCACGGGCGCCATAAAAGGTGCCAAACTGGCCGCTCCCAAGGAGGAGGAGGCACGTCCCCGTAGGGATCCGGTCAAGGTCAAGTTCCCTGACTC